GGCCACGCCACGCGCGGAATCGCGCGAGCGTCCCCGCTTGGCGACTGTTCGCGCCACGTTTCCATCTCAGCGCAGGTTGGCGCATTTATCAAAACAGTTCACACCGAATTCCCGAGGAGCTGCGCCCTCGCCGCCCCTCCCCAGCGGTGCCTGTTTGTCGCCTAAACTGCATTTTAATAGCAGACGTGAGGAGAGCGCGTCTAAAGTGTCAAGACACACTTCGTAGGAAAGGAAAATAGTGGCTTCTTGTCACAGCAGAGAGAAAAGGAGCGTCAGGGACAGTGGGGAAGGGGGCTCAGCCGAAGGAGGAAGGCAGCGCCCCCACTTCGCGGGGGCTCCTCCGGGTAACTGTCTGCTGGGTTCTCCCCTCGCGACGCCCCCTGACCCACCCCCACCAGCCCCACGGGGCTCCCTTCGCGGGACCTCGCTGCTGCGCTCGAGCGCGCGCGCTCTCACAGCCGGCCCTGTACGCGGGGTCCCCCTGGCGGGGGTGCTCCTAGCGGGAGGGGGGGTGTCCCTGGAGGTCTCCTCGAAAATGAGCAGCGGTAATCCGGCCCCCGGACCCCGCCGGGAGCAGCCCCCGGGCGCGCAGAGCCGCTCATTGGCATTCCGCGCACACGGGCCGGGACGCGGAGCGCTGTGTGTCAAGCAGGGTCGTGCGACTCGACGACTCGGGCTCGCCTGCGCCCCGGCCCGCATTCCGGGGGGCTACGGCGGGCCTCCAACGGCCAGGCCCGCACTTCATGCCGGAGAAACCGATGAGAAGATTAAAAACCCTCTGTAATTCCAGCGGGAAGATTCTTTCTCGCGATCTCTATTTGCGGAAAGCGTGATCCCAGAGATTGGAATGCAAAGAAGACGGGGCCTCCGCGCCCCTCCTCCCGGCCCCCTGCGCGCCGCCCGCTCCGATCATTGTCCTGGGGACAGTGAGCCTCGGAGCGCGGCCCAGGGCTCTAAAAAGCGCGTCGTCAAGGGGCCTTGAGAACCGGCGCTTCCAGCGCCCTAGCAGGCCCGGCCATTTAAAATTCAAATACACATCTTGAGAGCTTGGAAGAGAGGCCTGGCTGAGCAAACAGTGCTTGTGAGGCCCGGGCTTCTGGAGAGCCCGCGTGTGAACCGCGGGGCGCTGGGGTGGGGGGGCTGCACCTGAACAAATAGGGAGGGGGCAGCCGGGAGCCGGAGAGGGGAGAGGAGACGTGGAAGTGTCCCCTCTTCCGAGAGTGTCTCCCTTTTAGCGCAGCCATCGCAGGGACAATGCTGGGCCCTTGATTGGATTTTAATTGGAAAATCCACACAAGCCCCGGGTTTTCACACCTCTGCCGGTTCTCTGGAATGTTTGTCCAGTTGCTACAACTACTACAGCTATTTTCACCC